GTTAACATATATGCAATATATTCCATCCATGGAAAATATGCCGAATGAAAATCGTTCAGAGAACTAAATCTGTATGTGCTATTGTTTTGATGATTTTTTAACGAATTACACATTAATAAAAAATAGTTTTGAGAAAATATGATAAAACTGAAACTCTTGAGGGTGGGTGTGGGTGTAGGTATTCTTTTCATTCTACACCCATACTAACACCCACACACTTATTCACTTTTCTAGACTTCGACTTTCATTATTTGATAAACAAAATGTCGTCATTGGTTATGTCTTGATAATTCAACATGCTGAGAAAAATAATGAAACAAACTTCCATTTGATTTTTGTCGTTCTTCATAGACAATTTGAATTTTATTTTCTGAAGAAACAAAGTTAAATACAGAGATTCTTACAACACAATAACAACAATGATATTAAGATGCTTAAATATAATAATATAATATACAGTTAATAAAACAATAAGAAATAGGACAAAAAAGTACAGAAAATATTGCTGAAATGTTCTTTTCGTGTTCTGTATTAATTGTATAAGTATAATAGTTATTTGCACAAAAAGATATTCTTCACTTCATTTCGAAATGTTTTTGACACGATTAAATTGCTATAAAATCCAATACAATATGGAATAAAACCACAAAATGAACATAGATATTGGATTGAAACTTCTGCTTGTGTTTGATCAAAACTTTTCGTGTCATATTGAGTAATTTGTTGATATAAGTTTATTGCTGTTTGTGGATAGACACAGATGACATAAATCCCAATATCAATGAGAAGAATACGAACGAGTTGACGATCTTTGGAATGAATCGACTGTAAACCACGATCGTTTACTGTTCCCATTGTAGTTGCATCAGGAACAACCCTATTGTGACCTATTTTTCGAATATTTCTGACAGCCAAAAGACCTAAACCTGCTAAAAGCGTCGGAATAAGAATATTTTTTAGAAGTGAATAGTAACTTATGACCACAAGATATACAGCAGATTGCGTATAACAAATAAAAGTACTCAGTGCAATTTGAATAACGTGCATTAAGATCAATGAATGACTATGGAATAAAATCCAAAATAGTGTTGCACAAATGATACTTCTAAATGCAAGGCGAAAAGTACTCTTTTGTCTTGTTAAAGCATTTGGTGACGTAACTAAGATTCGATCAATAGAAGCTAGAACTAAACAAGTAGGACTTATTATATCCAGGGCGAAAGCCATGTATATAGAAAATCGACAAAGACCTAAAGTAGATGTGATAAATGTCATACCATAACCAATCGATAATACTGATGGCAATATAAGTGTAATAATATATGTAAAATTAGCAATGTGAAATGCCATCATATATATTGAACAAGAATTTTTGCGAAGAGTCTTTTTGCTAAAGACTATCCAACTAAGTAGACAACCAATACTACCTAAAACTATCAAGATTAATCCTCCGTATTGAAACAGATATTTTTCTGCTCGTTGTAATGATACTGTGTAATCACTGATTTCAAATTGTAAAGACATAACAACGGATAATCCTAAAAAAAATACAGAATATAGTATCATTCAATTGTCTCTATAAAAAGTGATCGAACGAAACTTTTGTAATAGAAAACAATAGGTTTTTTCAACAAAAGTTCGTATTCTTCAATAGGATAACGAAATTTACACTGATTGTTTTACGACAATAATGTTATGAATAGTAGTTTCGAAATGATGGACAAGTCTTCAAAATTACTTTAGTATTATTGTCTTAAAACAATTAGTGTAAATTTGGATCATTCTATTGGAGAATAAGAACTTTTGTTAAAAAATCTATTCCTTTTTATTACAAAATTTCCGCATTGCCACCTCAGTTGTACAGGACAAATGGGTGAGTAAAAATCAAGTTGAAGTATCTGATACTATTGCTCTCACACTCTCATTTCATCATACTTTCTTTAATAAAATATAAAAAACATATATTTGATTATCTTTTATGTCTGCTGTAGCTACACTTCCTGTTTACTCATTTTCACTAGCTTATTTCTATTTATAATCATGTTTCGAGGTGGACTTACATTTTAATCAACATATAGAGCATGACTTCTTTTTCTTGACGTGCTGTTTTTCAATAGGCGACAAATGATTGAATAAGCTATGATTAATTAGTGAACTAAAAACAGCATACAACGTCACAAAACAAGAGACGTTTTTTAGGCATAAAAAGAAAAAAAAAGCTTTCTTAATAGTATTCAAACAGGAATAGCACGAATACGAAACGATTCTTTTATCTAATCGACACTTCTTTTGAAATATTACACGTCAACCTCTTCCATAACGGATGACCCGGAATATTTTAATTAACAACAATCTTCATTTGAGAAAATTATAAAATCTTGACTTCTTCTTTCAAAAGATACATGGATAAAATTTCTATTAATTGTACTGAGGACCTTTCTCCATAATTAAAAATGAAGATATACATGATGTTGTTACTATTTCAAATGTATGTTGGGTTGATAAAATAACATGACTTTGATTTTTTTTTAAAAAATGCTTTATAAATATCTCTCTTATAAGAAAGAATACTCTTCGAAACATGTCTTTTGTATTCAATACGCTGAGATAAATATCTACCATTTAGGTTATTCGTATTGAACATCGAATACAAGGAATATGTAATTCAAATTTATATTATTTGTGATGACAATATTATTTTTAATAGACATCAAGAAAGACAAGAGATGCAATAATTGAAATTTAAATAATATTCGAATAATCTAATTTTAAATTATTATATGAAAAAATAGTTATTAATACTTGAATTTGGTAAATGTATGTGACGATTGTATGATAGCAGAAATATTAGTGTTGATGGTATTGCGCCTTATTCTATTTCTTCTTATGAAGAATCGCATCGTTTTTCATACAAAGCATACATTTATAATACTCATCCATTAGAGAGAAGAAAGAGATAATAAGGACAAAGTATCATATGATGTATGGAATAAGAACAGAAAGAAAAGAATGATACATCAAATGAGCATAAATCATAAAAATAGAACAAATATCGTTACAATATACATGTTCATGATGTTTCGTTTTGATTTGTGTTTATGATTATGGTATTAATGTTTTAGTTAAATGTATGTTTTATAAATTGATATATTATTTGTTTACAATTAAATTTCCTTCAAATTCCAGATATTTCTCTTGATGATTTTGAAAATAAGTAATAGATTTAAAGACAAGACTGCACAAAATTCCGATCAAAATTGCTAGACTACCATCAATAATACGCTTTTTTGTGTTCACTATTCATGGTTATTACAATGTTGTAATACTGTTTCGAGTGATTTATCTATGTGAATAGCAAAAAATACAAGGCAACTAAGAACTGAATACGAAAATTTCTTCGTCTTCTGATTTCGAACCAAAATGATTACTTACCTATCCTATCGAAAAATATTGATGGAAATGACATAGAAAGAGACAATAACACTTCACCAATCATGATCAACAGGATATTTTGCTGCAGGTACAAGATATGAAATGAATACGAATAATTTTAACTCTCATTCACACTCTTGAATTCGTATGACATCTATCCGAAGTTTTTTACGTATGCACAGAACTGACAAGTAAGCATAAAGTGCTCGGTAGTCACATTGATAGAATGAATCATATCGGTATATACATATTGACAGTAAATTATATTTGATACATGGTACACATGCAGTCGACATTGGAAGAATTACCGGATGAAATTTTGATGATTATTTTCGGTTATTCGGATAATATCTATTCTTTATTTCAAACATTTCTCGGTTTAAATCAGCGTATAAATAATATTCTTCTCGACAAACGATTACATTTATTCATTAATTTTCTATCCATAAATATTGATCATGAAACAATGTGTTTCTATTATAATTCATCAGAATTTCAACATATAACACGAATACTAAAGTCGCTAAATGGAACTGTGAATAACAATGAAATTATTGAATCATGTCTCGAATCGTTAGTTCGTTTTCATATTCAAAATCGATATATTCAATTAAAGAATGAATTTCAACTAAATCAAAAACATTTTCAACTCATACGTAAACAGATGACTCATAGTGAAATTCAAAAAGCTGGCAATGAATTACAACTTGCTTGTAAAGAATGAGTAATAACTTCGAATATAACTCATACAATACATTCACTTATTTATACACGCGGTGCACGTGTCAAATATGAAGATCCTCAGATAGTCTCATTTGATTTAGCTAGAGCGATTAATAATCAAATAGTTGTCTACTTTCAATTTCCACTAAAATATTCTCGAAAACATTCCGATCATCTTATATCTATATTCAAAAGATTCATCATTTCAAATCCAAATCTTTTAAAAAATTCACAGTATCTCAGCTATGGTTTGAATGTACTTCATTGTTTACTTATAACTATATTTAAACGAGCTTTTATTTATACTCAACAATCATGTACAACAAATCTGTATTATTATCAATCACTTATCGATTTAATTTTATTATCAATACGATCTATTTTAAATGAAAATTTGTGGTCAACAAGTTATTTGTACGAAATATTATCACTGATGAAATCGAAGGAAGAGTTAATTAGTAATATTATTATTCAAACAACAGAAATGGAACTATTGAAAATTTTACTCAATGAATTGAATTTAGATTTAAATGAATCATGCGAGGACGAACCAAATCATTTGTTAGTATACGCTTTGAATCGTTTGATTAAAACTGATTGTATGGATATTTTTTTAGTGATGTATCGACACAATAAAACTGTACGAGATCTTTTTCAAAAGACAGATTATATAGAAAAAAATGTTAATATTATGCTTGGAAATCATAAAAGCAAACAATTACTCAATCAATTAATCGATGAAAAACCATTAAATACATGTTTTACAACGAGAAAGTTTCTATTTCAACTATTAGGTAAAAAACAATTCGAATTGGTAAAAAAACTTCTGAAATTATCGATATCAGTTTTAAATGAGATCGATGAAAATGGCAATGATATTTTATTATATTTATGTTTAAAAGTTCGTGGTTGTCGACATCGTTTTATTGAATATTTAATTAAAATGGGTTGTAATACACAAAGGATAAATTATTGTGGTCAATCATTTTTTAATGCTATAGAATTGAAAGAAAATCAAAAATTATTAAACAAATTATTCGAACATGAAATCATTTTATTTGATAATTTAACGGGAAAAATAATAATTTCGACAAATCTTTTTGAATAAATATAAAGAAAATATATTAGATTTTTTCCAAAGGAATTTAATATCATAGGAATGTTAGATTGTCGTGGTGATATACCCACACCCTCTTTATGACCTAGTAATTGATTATTATATTCAAACAATTAAAAGTCTTTATATCTAGATGCATTTGTATATTTTATCTTTTGCTCATCAGAAATAATATTGAATGGAGTTATGGAGGTTATCAATAAAATGTTCTAATTTTAGCATAATCAATCCTCAAGTTTTACGATTCCCTGCTCCTCCCCCCGCCCTATCTTTAAAGACAGGTGCTCATTACCATATTGAGGGTGTGGGTGAGTATATACAATACTCACATCCACAGCTAAATATATATTTTCTTTGAATATAACTCAGGAATCTGTAGTCATAACGTATAACTCACGGAATGAGAAAGGAGAATTGAAACAAGTCATGTAATATCATATTTGACGGTTGTGATAATCATGACAAATAAGAATCTTTTTGTTACCGTGTATGGTTTAATATTTAACCAAAAATTATTTAACACTTCTAGTCGTCTTTGTTACAAATGCAACATATACATCGCATTGGAGAAAGAAAAAGGAAATACTACATAGAGAAAAATAATATCAATATTCCTGTGGTAGACGTGTCTTTTAGAAACAAAAAAAGCAAATTCTTCTGACAAATACTTAAATGACACGCAGACAATTATTATTCATCTATAAAATTATATTATTCTCGGTCGTTTTTATTAAACATATTAAAATAATAAAATATTCTTGTAAGGCAAGTTTTTTAGTATTATTATTAATCGTGATAATATGTTGTCCAATATCATATTACTTTCTGTCCTACTACTACTTTACTAGTCGTTGTATCAAGAAAAATATCTTGATTATACTGATGATAGTTATTAATAGTTTTTGTAGTCCTGAGTCTTACTTGAATAAGATTCAGGGAAATGTGTGCATTAAAATATCTAAAAGATGTTGAGTCATCATAGTATTTTTTTGTTATAAATCGTGGCACTGAAAATAAAAATAGTTAAATTCAATCACTTTAGCTAAACTGCCGCATCCGTTTAGCCACGAGAATCTGATAGTTTTTATTGTTTCTTGAAGTTTAACATATTACTTAGGCAGCGAAATGAACGTCAGTGTTATTGAAATAATATAATGACAAAATTCTGTCAATACAATTCAAGTAAGTTTATAGAATAATCAATTCCTATAGTATGTTTTCAAAGAATAAATAGACTCATGACAAAATCTTTTTGTTTCTAGGTAATATTTTTAGCAAACATATGAGCATAGATAATGTGATATGAACAAAGGAGTTACTCTATTTTAAACATATTTTTAAATATTTTTGATTATCTTCTTTACAGACCGAGTATATGGATTGATGTACATCAATACTTTTAATAGGAATTTATGAATGATAGAACATTGACAAAATGTTTTTACAACCACCATAAACACTGACTACTTTGCAAATATCAGTGTTTGATAAATGAAAATTCTATTTTTCTTCTCATATTTTAAGTAATTATTTGGGAAACTCTTTAAATATATTTTTCTTACGAACAGATCAAGTTTCTCTGATGATATAAGTATTAGCTTATATTTAAAGCGTTTACTGCCATAATTTTCATAAAGAAAATTTTCTGCATTCATTTTTTCTATTAACCAAATACGAGTCAACTTATTTACTCAATCTACAAAGTTGATGTTCGATTTTTTTTTATAGATTATCTCTGTGACATTCTGTATATAACATCATGTACTAATTTTTAGATTTATTATTCGATTTGTCAATCAATTGATATATCTTTTTCTCAGACAGTTATTTGAAGTTTATGATAAAAATGTTTCGTACTTATTGAATCGTCTCAATCTGTTTTTCTTCTAACAAATCCCTTGTCGCTAGAACAAAATTCATCATGAACAATTACCAACGATTGTACAGACATTGTACCTCTCGTTTTATCATCATAGTTTTACAGTTAACAATTATTTTTATTTTAATTCGTCGAGATTCACGAGAATCATCATTCCCGAAGACACCATTATCTGTGAACAACATTATACAGACAAAATCAACGAGTGAAATATCACTAACACAATTGGATACGAAATATCATACTAGTAAAGGACAAGTTCATCGTTATACTCGTTTCTATGAACATTATTTAAGTAAATATCGTAATACTAAATTTTCTCTACTCGAAATTGGTCTTGGTTGTGGCATGTCATGGGGTGTAGGTGTGTCGGCAGCACTATGGCGAGAATATTTTGGTCCAACAGCTGATATTCATTTTCTTGA